TTTGTTATGAATACTTACAATTTTTGTACTTTTTGTTACACATGAGATCGCATTCTAACTGTCTACAATAACAATAATATTGGTACAAGTCTATGCGAACAGAATTATACATATGAAAAAGGTGGTGACAAAGGAACTAGTCTTATTTACAAGGTTTAGGAAAAGTAAAATCTTTACAAGGAAAAATTGAGTTCGGAATTATTGATAATATGGTCGGAGATGTTCAGCATTCCAAGCTCGCGGTACTTCGGAACCATTTAGCCTTTTGAGATGATAAGTCCCTGGTCTTATCACTTTGGCGATACAGTATGGGCCCTCCTAGTTCGGTCCCAAAACTCCTACACTTGGTTATCTTGTACCAAGAAGGACTTCCTTCAAAATGAGGTCGCCGACCTGGAAGTCTCTTCTTTTGACTTTAGAGTCGAAGAACCTTTTCGCGTGTTGCTGATAGGCTGCTATTCTTGGCTGAGTCTTGCTGCGATGTTCTTCAACTAGATCCAGACTTGCGCGCATAAGTGCCTCGTTGAATAGGTCCCTCAGAAGTGAACCGGTTCCTACCTCCACAGGGATCAATTTTTTGCAGCCATATGCTAGCGAAAGAGGGGTTTCTGAGGTAGAGGTTCTCAAAGTTGTCTTGTATGCCCACAAAACTTTAGGAAGGTCATCGGCCTAATTTCCCTTGGCCGCACCAAGTTTGGCCTTCAAAGTGTGCTTGATGGTTTTGCTGACAACTTTAACTTGACCATTTGCTTGCGGTCTTGTGACTAAGGCAAATTTCTTATGGATACCCAGCTTGTCGCAAAAATGCTTGAACTCCTCGTTATCGAACTGCTTCCCGTTATCAGAGATAAGGGTATGAGGAATCCCATAGTGGCACACAATATTTTTGAAGACGAAGTCCTTGAGTTTTTTGATGGTGATCGCGGCCAATGGCTCTGCTTCGACTCACTTGGTGAAGTAGTCTATCACGACCACCGCATACTGGACTCCCCTTTTACTAACTGGCATGGGTCTGATGAGATCGATTCCTCACATGGAGAATGGCTGGGGCCTGGACATGGTTACCAGCTGGTGGGAAGGAGCTCGTGGTACGTTTGCGAACCGTTTGCACTTGTCACATGGTTTAACAAAGTTGTAGGTGTCTTCTTGAATCAGGGGCTAGTAATACCCTTGATGAACAACCTTGTTGGCGAGGGATAGTGCAGCCATGTGATTACCACATATTCCTTTATGTATCTCCCTTATGATATAGTCTACTTTTTCGTCGGTTACACATCGGAGAAGAGGGGCACTAAACCCTCGCTTGTACAACTGATCTCCTATGAGTGTGTAACGAGTAACTCTTCTTCACAGGGTTCTTGCCTCGACCTTGTCGTTGGACAGGATCCCATCTCAGAGATACTAAATGATAGGGGTCATCCAGGAGATTGACTCGGTCACATTCACGGCTTATTCGGGCGAACTGATACTGGGGGTCTCTATGAATCGAACAGGAATACTCTTTGGGGTGTTTGAGTCCAACGATGAGGCTATCTTTGCCAAGGCATCCGCAACAGAATTGCTGTCCCTAGGGATCTGCGTGATCGTGAAGTGCTCAAATGGCTCGAGTGCGGCCTTAGCTCTTTTCAAATAGCTGATCATGTTTTCTTCCTTGGCCTGATATTCCCCTTAAATCTGATTGACAATCAACATGGAGTCGTTGTGGATGTTGATCGCAGTTGATCCCATTTCTCTTGCCAATCGCAATCCAGCGAGCAAAGCTTCATACTTGGTCTCATTGTTGGTCACTTTGAACCCAAACTAAAGGATGCCATGAATACGAGTCCCTTCGGGACTTAAGAGAAGAAGGCCTGCCCCGACCCGTTTCCTGTCGACGATCCATCGATGTACAGGCTCCAGGTCGACAAGTTCTGAATAGTTTCCTAGGTGACTTCGTTGGCTTGTTGCTCGGATTCCTTTATCAGATGATATGAGAATTCTGAGATGAAATCGGCAACAACCTGCCCTTTATTGGTTGCTTTCGGTCTATACTGCAGATCGAACTGACTTAGTTCCATGGCCCACTTGAGCAATTTACCCGATGCCTTTGGCTTCTAGAGGACTTGCTTGAGCGAGTAACTGGTCATTACATGAATTGTGTGGGCGTGGAAGTAAGGTCACAACTTTCTGGAGGCTATCAGTAGGGCATAAGCCAATCGCTCCATTTCTGGATATCGCATCTCGGCATCCAGCAGACGCTTGCTTGCGTAATAAACTGGCCATTGAACCCTGCTCTCTTCCCGAACTAAAGCTGTATTGACCGTATACTAAGAGACGGACAGATACAAGAGGAGAATTTCTTGCGGGAGAGGCTTGAACAGAAGAGGTGGCTTTCCGAGGTGCTCTTTAATGCTCTGGAATGCTTGTTTGCACTCGGGAGTCCACTCAAACTTCTTATTTACCCTAAGTATATTGAAGAATGGCAAGCAACGATCTGTTGCCCTCGATATGAAACGACTGAGTGTTGCTATTCACCCATTAAGACTTTGAACCTGTCTTCAGTTAGTCAGGCTTTTCATGTTGAGGAGAGCTTGGATTTTCTCAGGGTCAATCTCTATTCCCCTCTGGTTAACCATGTACCCCAGAAATTTTCCTGAGGATACCCCGAATGAGCATTTGAAAGGATTGAGCTTCATTATGTACTTCCAGAGGATGTCGAACATCTCAGCGAGATGCGCTCTGTGATCTGAAGTGACATGCGACTTGACTAGCATGTCATCAACATAGACTTTCATTGACTTCTCGATCTGCTCGGAAAACATTCGGTTAACCAGCCGCTGTAAGTTACTCCAGCTTTTTTTAGGCTGAAGGACATAACCTTGTAGCAATACAGCCCCCGATCTGTAACAAAGGAGGTATGCTTTTCGTCCGACGCATACATCGAAATTTGATTGTATCCCAAGTATGCATCCATAAAACTCAGCAGCTCGTGCCCGGAGGTGGCATCAACGAGCTGGTCGATGCTGGGTAGGGGAAAGCTATCTTTTGGGTAGACTTTGCTGAGGTCGGTGAAGTCAACATAGGTCCGCCACTTGCCGTTGGGCTTCTTTACTAGAACCAGGTTGGCAACCCAACTCAGGTAGAGCGCTTCCTGGATGGACCCATTCTGAAGGAGATTATCTACCTCGATTTTCAAGGCAGCATATCATTTTGGATCTATCGCTTTTCTTTTCTGGCAGACCGACTTGGCTTCACTATCGATGTTCAAGGCATGACAAATGATGTCCGGGCTGATCCGGACCATATCAGCATGCGTCCTTGCAAACACATCAATATTTTCTTTGAGGAAGCTAGTCAGGTCAGTAGCGAGCTGGGGGTCGAGATTGTTTCCAATCCTTAACACTTGGCTAGGCTCGTTCTAGTCGATTGACACTTCCAATAGATCCTCAAGTGGCCCACTGGAAGGGTATTCCTGGATACGAGGATCCATATTATCCTCGGCTGGGCCAGGTTATGGTTCGATCCGACTGATTGCCATTGCCTGTTCAGGAATGCCACGCGGGATGCCTTTCCCCTTGCATGCCATCTGCACTGCCCTTAAATAGCAGTCGCGAGACGCGCACTGAGATCCGCTTACTTCCCTTATCCCCGTCGGGGTGGGGAACTTCATCTTGAGATGATAGATCGAAGTGATTGCCTTGAAATTTCTTAGTAGAGGTCACCTTAGGATGCCATTGAAAACGAAGGGGCAATCCACTACCAAGAATTCAATGACCTTGGTCACCTCGTCGGAGTCACCCAGCATGATTGGAAGCAAGATCATTCCCTTGGGGATCAGGTGATCCCCTGTAAAACCATATAGGAGGATAGAGGCGGGCTTCAGGTCGGCCTCATCCAATTTCATTCTTTCGAAAGCTTGCTGGAATAGGATGTTCACAGTACTTCCGTTATCTACCAACATTCTATGGACGTCACAACACCCTATTTAGGGTGATGACCAGAGCATCGTCATGGGGATGATGCAATCAGACTGTGTCTTTTTCGGAAAAGGTGATTTCCTCATCTCTGCGAACCTTTGATGGTCGCTGTGTCATGTTCATCACACGTATAGGGTCATGATAGACTGCACGAGCATATCTTTCTTGGGCACCTCGCGAGTTCCCTCTGAGGTGTGGTCTCCCAAAGATTATCCCCATGCTACAAATACCCTTGCGATCACGATGTTTCTTACCTGGTTCCTCTCAATTTTTCTCCCTTAAGGGAGCAGAGTCATCAACATACTCTTTGAAATGCCTCAACTTGATAAGGTCTTCAATTGCCTACTTGAGAGTTTGGCACTCATCGGTGTGATGCCCATTGTCCCGATGATAACGATAATGCTTTTTACTGTTTCTAGCTAAAGGGGGATTTTTCATGGGCTCAGGCTCTCCAAGTAGGCCGGCCTCTTCTGACTTGTCAAGAATGGCCGAGACATATGCATTCAAAGGGGTATATTGACTCCTGTCGCGATCACGACGAGGAACTGGAGCATAAGACTTCTTAGGCTCAAACTGCTATTTCTTTCCTTTTTGCTGATCATCGTTAGCCCATTGACGATCAGCCCTCTTATTTTCCCCCCGACCTGGCGCACTGCCCAAAGGACCGTGGTAGTGGCGGTGGAGCGTCGCCACAAAGTTCTCAATATGGAAGTATTTCTCCGTAAGGCTGTAGAAGCAAGTGAGAGAAACATCATCCTCTGACTGCAGCTCTTTTCACAGATATGTTTGTGGACGAACTCCCGCTATGATGAGTGTAATACCCCGTACTTTTTTTCATGGAATTTTAGTAAATTTTATTTTGTGATTCTGGGGATAAAGTGTAATAATTTGAAAGTTTTGGGGAGTACAATAATAGCCGAAATAAGTGAGGACTAAATTGAAAATTTTCAGATATTTTGATGAACAGTAACCATTCAATGAAAAGAAAAAGGGGGAAGAAGAAGAAGAAAAACAAAAAAAAAAAAGAGGAAAAGAGAGAAAGAAAAGAGAGAAAAGAGAGAAAGAAGAAGAAGAGAAGGAGAGGAAGAAGAAAAGAAAGAAGGGAGAGGAAGATGAAACCAAGAATAAAGAGAGAGAGGAGAGAAGAGACCGGCGGAGGTGGCTGGAAAAGTGGCCGCCGGCGAGCAAAACTCCGGTGATCGGAGAGTGGAGGAAGATCAAGCATATGGGAGGTGAGTAAAGGTTAAAATTTCCCTTTTTTGATGAGTTTTAGTTCACTAGATTGTGTTGGTTATCATTGAGTGTAATAACATGAGATTACACTATAATAGGGAGATTGATTTTAATAATTTGGTGTGGGTAGAATATAGAGCTTGTTCTTAAACAAAAATGGGTTAAAGATATGATTTTGATACAAGGGTTTATTGTACAGAAATCTGACCATCTGGAACTCCGAAAATTGTTTGTATGTTTTGGGTTTTTGTTTGAAGCTGAATTTCGGATATGCTGTTGTAGACTTCTTGAGGAGTGTTTAGAAATTTATTTCACTCAAAAACTTGAAGGATTGAATTTTATATGGATTTTTGAAGTTGCCTTGTGAATTCTGGAATTTTCGTTTTCTGCAGAACATGTATTTTTGGAAAATGAATTGATGTATTTATTCTTATCCAAATTGAGTGATTTTAAATTCTGGTGAATCCTATATGTGTCTAGTTTAATTCTGGAGAGTTTCGTGAGGTTTGGATTAAGGGCTGAATTGTTATGAATTTTTCAACTCAGTAACCCCAATTCTGGAAACAGGGGACAGATTTGAATGAGTTGAAAGAAAATTGTGTTTTAAATAGTTATTGATTAAGGAATGACCTGAGAAAATTATGGGAACAACTTATGTGTCTCTAGAACGCCCTGTTAAAATTATAGCTTAAAATTATAAGTAGAAGTTTTAAGAAAAATCAGAGAGCAACCAATGTTCGGTTATGAGACAGTTTTGTTAAAGAAGAAGTTATGTTAATCTTTTGGTGTGTGAAGTGTCAAATGATTTTAATATTGAGGTGTTACCTTATGGAGGCTTATGTATGGAAGATTTATTGGATTTGTATATAGGGAGACAAGCGGGGGCATTATTAGAAGATTTCAATCGTTTTTCGGTTTAAGGGTAGAGCTTCAAACTGTGAGTAGAAAAATCTAAACCCGTAACTTTCTTTTTAACAAAGTTATCTTTAAATGCTCTTTTTTTCTTTGCCCCCACCAGGTTAAGAAGGAGATCGTGTATAAGAGTGAATCCCACTCAAGGTTGGGCCACATGACTTTATTTCATCATATGTTTCATAGTTGTGTTTCATTTTCCGCTGCAAAGTTTCTATTTCTTCATCATGTATTATTTCATGTTTAGGATTGTAAAAGACATGGAAAAATCTGATACCATACGTTCATTTTGTAAAGGAAAATTCAGCTGTATTTTGGTTATTTGCAAGTGATGTTATATTTTTGGTGGTACACAAAAAGGAGTGTTTATAAATGTTTTAGCTAGAAGAGTTTTATGATGTTTTAATTCATAAATAGATTTTCATAGTTTTCCCACATGGCACATCTCGGTCTCCTGAGTCTCATGGGTGCTTGATGCGTGCAAATGCAACACCTAATTTTACCTTACTAAATTCTAATGCAAAGTCGTGTAGTAGCAAATAGCAAGTAAGGGTCTTTCCCGCAGAGGATTTGTGAACTTAATTAATTATCTACTTCAAATAGGGTTTGTCAGGAATTATAGGGTGTGTTTGGTTTATTATTTTAGATAGGATTTTGGGGATAGTATTGGATAGTTGGATAGGGTTATGATTACGAGAATAAGATTTGCAGGATATGTGTTTGGTAGAGTATTTTGATCTTGATATTTGTGTTGAATATTTTATTAATATATCTTTTTATAAATGATTTATTAATATAATATTTTGTTGCATTTTGTTAAAATAATGTATTATTATATATATATAACTTATCAAATTACATTTTAATAATACTAAATATTTTATTGGTAATTTTGTCACCCATATATATTAAAAAACAAAAACCCATATTAATTTCAAGTACTAATCCAACTGTTTAAAAACACTATATTAATACATATATGACAAAAGTACTAATTATTAACCCTTACAATCATTATTACACGTATACTCCATTAACAACTACAACATGGTCCACTATGCCACCCACAATGCATTCGTTATGTTATCCCGTGTAATCGTCATGTTGTCCGGTTGACTCGGTCCTTCTCCATTTCGGCCATATTCTGCCCCATTTTGACGATCACAATTTACTTGTTCATTACCCGTATTATTATTGGTTTGTTCGAAGATATGGTCGTCCATATTGTACATTCTAATAAAATTATAAAGTACACAACATGCCATAACAATCTTCCCTTGTTTGTCCAACAGGTAATTGTTCATTCCATTTAGAATACGGAACCGTCTTTTCAAAATACCAAAGGTTCTCTCGATAACATTGCGGAGTGAAGCATGTCTGTAGTTAAACAACCGATTACAATCATGTGCCAAATGCCAAATTAAACCCATTCACATGCGTGTGCCAAATGGCAAATAAAAACAAAACCCATTCCAAATACCAAATAAAACAAAAACCAAATAAAACAAAACAAAAACCCATTCAACAATCCATTAACGCACAAAGCATTCTCTGTATCCATTAACGCAAAAAGCCTTCTCTTCTACACAGATCAAACAAAAACCCATTCACCCCATTAATGCAAAAGAGCATCCTCTTCTACACAGATCAAACAAAAAGCATTCTCTGTATCCATTAACGCAAAAAGCATTCTCTTTTACACAGATCAAACAAAAACCCATTCACACCATTAATGCAAAACATCATCCCTTCTACACAAATCAAACAAAAACCCATTCACAATAAATTCCTGTCAAATAAATAAAAAACGTAAAACAGCATCTAAGGTGGGTTTGATCCAGATGGAGGTGTGGGTTTGCGAAGGATCAGGTCATGGTGGGTTCGTTTTGGATAGATCAGGTCACGATGGTTGGGTTGCGAAGGATCGGGTCACGATAGGTTCATTGTGGATAGATCGGGTCACTGTGGTTGGGTTACGAAGGATCGGGTCACGGTGGATTCGTTGTGGATAGATCGGGTCACGGTGGGTTCGTGGTTGGGTTGCAAAAGATCGGGTCATGGTGGGTTTGTGTGTGACAGATCTGTCATGGTGGGTTTATTTGTGACAAATCGGGTCATGGTGGGTTTGTGTGTGACAGATCTGTCACGGGGGTTTTGTTTGTGACAGATCTATTTCCAGGTTCACGGTTGGGGATCTGAAGTGGGTTCGCGGTGGGTTTGTGACGGAGGCATTTGCAGGTTCACGGTGGTGGGTTGACGGTGGTGGGTTGACGGTGGGTTCACATTGGGTTAGGATGTGGGTTTGTGACAGAGGGACTTGCAGGTTCACGGTGAGAAGTGAAGCACTGAAGCTGCCACTGGATACTAGAAAGTGAAATGGTGGTAATGCAAACTGGGAAGTGAAGCACTGAACTTGGTAATGGATTATCAGAAACTGAAATGGTGGTGATGGATACTGAGAAAGTGAAGCACTGAAAACAGTAATGCAAACTGAGAAGTGATGCACGAAGCTGGTAGTATACCGAGAATGAGAAAGTGAAATGGTGAAGCAGTGAAGATGCAGTGAAGAAAAGTGAAAAAGCAAACTGTAACGGTAAAAAAAAATTTGTCAGGATATTTGTCAGGATTGAATTATCAGGACAAGGTTATGTAAATAATAAAACAAACGATATCTGAAGAATCGGGTCCAAAATAAGAATAAAAATAACAAGCCAAACATAGCCATAAAAACTCAACAAAAACTATCAAACTAAAATCAAACAAAATAAAACAAGCAGACAATCACGAAAGAGATAAATAAGATAAACTTGATTGAAGGTTTATTCGTCACCACTGGACATGAATTATATATAATAAAAGCACTCTTTAACTTTTTACCCTCTTAATCACATCAGCTCAGAAAATACCAAACATTGATAAGTTCTATCTCTCCTTATTGAGTCGTTGGACTAGACACGGTCATAACCCAATTCCCTATGTATTAGATAACCTAGGATACGATCTCTAGATTCAAAGTAATAAAAGCATTCAGTTACGAGAGACCTACTGAATCAAGGCTAAACTCATATGGTCGGTTTAGTTATCTTGAGTGATTAGCCCCCATGTATGTAGGCATACACTTTACCATTAGTTATTTAGGTTAATAAAGCGATTTCGTACTAAACAACCTAAATTGGCATTAATAAATTAATCCTAACTATTTAATTGTGCACTTAAACAATTAAGACAATCTATCTAAACCCTATTCACAGAGAAATAATCACATAACCAAGAGGGATCAAAAGATAAATAGATGCAGATTTTATTAATCACAAGACATGTCTAGGGTTTTGAAATCACCCTCAATCACAAAAGAATTAGTTCTTCATGAATAAATATGAGAACATCATTGTATTATTCATAACAAAAAATAATAACAGAGAAGAAGAAAAAGTTAGTGAAACTTGGTTGGATTATTGAAGTTGATGATGATCTCCTCCAATTCTTCTTCGCAAAGCCTTCTTTAATCTCCCTTTTTCTTCAGTTCTTGAATATCTTTGTTTTCTCTTTTTTATCTCTGAAAGAATTCCCCTAAAATAATGCTAAAAGACTTCTATTTATATCCCACAAGGGTTAGGGTTTTGTTTTCCTTAATTCTAGTTAGTTTAGGACTCTTAAAACCCTATTTTCCTAGTCAAAAACAGAGGAAAAGTTCCTAGCTGTCGTGACTGTGCTGTGGAACTGTGCTGCGGCACAGTAGCTACTGGAAAAAGTGTGCCGCGGCACAATAGCTACAGGTCTTCTTCCCGCATCATTCCACTGTTCTTTAGAGATGGTGGTTTTTGAACTTGATAACGATCGAATTTGGAAAAGTGGTAAACATATGAAATGTAGCCCTTTGAATTAGCTTTCCAACAGTCTACCAATTGTTTAAAAAGAATCCTACAGCTCAAGATATTATCAAAATACTGAGGCATGCTCAAGCTGGAACGTAATCTAGAATCTTCTCTTTACTTCAACTTCAATAACTTTTTCAATTCAACTCCGATTCTCGATCCGTTTATTTCCAGTCATCAAAAATTCTCTTGCGAACATCATCTCTCATCCGAATATTATTTTTGAGCCTTATTCCCTGAAAACACAACAAAAATACCCGTGATCTTGAAAAGTGCATTTATGAAACAATTAAGTTAATTCATGCGAATTAATCCTAATTTCCCACAAATGATACCTATAAACCACTAAGTATAAGTGTATTTTCAAGCACTTATCAGTGCGCCTAGAGCCTATGGGATAGATAGGGCTGGGATGAGTCGTGTCAATGAGAGTCCGAACGGACTCTTCAGGAGTATGAGCTACTTTATGAAGTTCCCTATGGAACCTATCGATGTAAGATTGATGGGATTAATCCCTCTCTTGCCTTATGTTATTGAGGTAGCTCAAAGACATTTAGAACTTCCTATTCGCTTGGAAGTGTGCCAGGAATGTCGAGCTCATCTGATTTCACGAGCTGATTGATCCCACCGAGAGCGACCTGAACCATTGCTTGGCATGAGATGTTAGAGTTATTGCCAAGCAACGACATTTTGCCAAGTCAGAAACTTGGTGAAGTTCCATCAGGTCATTGAATTCGTACAAATGATCCTGCGGATCAGAATTCCCATCGAACGCTTGCATATCGGGCATTCTGAATCTGGATGGGAGAGGGGCAGCTAACACAGCCAGAGAAAAGGGAGACGCCTCTGCTACCTGCCCTCGCTTACTTTGCTAAGCCTTTAGCTGATATAGAGCTCACTGTAGCTTCTCAATCTGAGGCAGTGGAGCCATCTGGGGATTGCTCTCCCTAACGCGGGTTCGACCCTCGCGGTTATGGTTGAGGAAAGTCCGAAGGTCGGATTCCTCCTCGACTCGGCCGATAGTTCTGACCGCTCTTGACAGACATTGGCTAGAGTCGTGCGATGGTGCTGAATGGTCTGGAGAACCTTCTCGACCTCCACAGTGGTGCGAACCGACCCACGGACAGTGGGAACTTCCCGCGCGATGATGATTGGAGTCGTCATTTTGGCGATAATGGGAATCTCCCTGCCTTGCACTTTTGTGGGAGTGCTCGCGTGACGTGGCACGAGGTAGCTCGGGCCGCGACATGTCACCGAGTCTGCGCGCCATGGGTATTCTACTTGAGGTGCAGTCGGTGTTCGCTGGTCCCTCGAAGCCTTTAGGCCTGTTGTTCGCCACTTGTTTTCCCTTCCTTTGACACATTGCAGTGCGCGCGACACGGGCTATTGCCTTTTTCCGCGCTTTCATGCAACTTGTAGGCATTTTTGGTAGTGGCATCGCCTCATTTGATTCAGGTGGCGCAACCCGATC